GGATACGCATGGCGTATCGGGACGATGAGGCTGTCGCGCCTATCGTCAAGTTCCTTAAGGCCGGAACGAGCGCGAAGTCCGACTGGCTCTCGTCGCGACAGCGCTCACGGCTCCACCGATATGAGTTGAAGAAGGGCCTCCTCTATTATCGGGTGGAGCCCACTGAGCCTCCACGGGTGGTCGTACCCAACGACGAGAATCTGAAGCTCGACATCCTTGCGGAGGCGCACGACGCGCCCTCCAGCGGCCACTTGGGCGACGAGAAGACCTTTCTGTCGGTCTCTCAGTCCTTCTGGCGGACCCACATGTACAAGTGGGTCGCCCGATACGTTAAGACATGCGAAACATGTCAGCGGGTCAAACCCGCAGGGCACTCTTCGGCTCCACTACAGAGCCTACCCGTACCGGCTGATTGTTGGAAGTCGATGAGTCTTGACTTCATCTTTGGGCTTCCCGCCGACGGACACGGCAACACCGGAATTTTGGTGTTCGTGTGTCGGCTGAGCAAGATGGTACATCTTGCTCCAGTTCCCGTCACTGTAACGGGCGAACAAACCGCAAGGTTGTTCGTCGATGGCGTGTTCCGCTATCACGGTCTCCCGGAGACGATTGTCTCGGACCGAGACCCGCGGTTCACTGCTGCGTTTTGGAAAACGCTGTTCCCTTTACTGGGAACTCGTCTGCAGATGTCCACTGCGGATCATCCGCAGACAGACGGCCAAACAGAGCGCGTCAATCGAGTGCTCGAGGACACTCTGCGCAGTGTGTGCGCGGCAGCGCCACGTACGTGGTCGTCGCAGCTTTCCAGTTGTTGAGTTTGCGCTCAACAACGCGGTGCACGCGTCCAAGGGGGTTCACGCCGTTCTACTTGAACGGCTTTCCGCCACCCCCAGAGTGCCTCTCACTCTTCGAGGAGACACTGACTCCTCTATTCTAAGTGGGGGAGAGGCTCGGAAAGCCCTTTCCTCCCAGGCCTCGGATGTGAGGCCAGTTTCGCTGCGGAAACAGGTGAAATCCTTTATGGATACCAAGCTGAACATTGTCAGCAGGGTCCGCGATGCCATGGCAGCGGCCCAAGATAAACAAAAGGAGTACTCAGACAAACAAGGAAGAGGAAACTTAAGTATATTTGAGGTTGGTGACTTAGTGTTGCTAGACACGAGGAACCTACCTCTAGACACTGTTAGCTCTGTCGGCAGCAACAAACTGAAGCACCGCTTCATCGGACCTTTTGCAGTCCTGGCCAGACATGGTGCGTCGTACACCATCGACCTTCCAAAGTCAATGAAGACGCACCCGACGTTCTATGTCTGACGTCTTAAGCGGTACTTTGACCCGCAGGGGGTTGCTGACTCGCAGACCCCCCTTGACCCAGCTCCTCGAAGCGAGGGCCGGTCACAGTCGTCGACGAGGGCGTCGGAGCAGGCACCCAAGCCTCGGTCGGGACGGCAAGGCTGCGGTCAAGACCGTACGCCGGAGGGGCTCCATACGAACGGACCCCGGCGCCATACGCCGAGTACGCTGAGTACGCCGGGTACGCACCATACGCGTACGTCTGGGAGTGTGCCGCAGGCGGCTCCGGACGTGGCAACAAAGCCTCGATCCGTCGGATCATGCGAAAGGCCTCGTCCAGATCGGACGAAGAGGCCCGGCGATCCACCCGCAGGTGCAGGCTCGCGACCTCTCGCTCCACCAGGTCCAGGCGGCCCGCAAGGCGAGCGAGCTCGCCCTGATTCCCGGCTTGGGCGGCAGCATTACCGCCAGTCCCAAGGCCAAGTGCAATCTCAAGCACGAGGACACGTTGACGGAGGCGGTCAACCTCAGGGTCCTGTGTCGGACCCGCAGTCGGAGCACTCGGATGAGAGTGGCTCTCGGGAGGCGCCGAGTACTCGTACTCGTACGAGGGCACCTCCGCCCCTGCTTGACCGGAATGGAGAAGCCCACTTCCACGTGGAGCGGATCCTCCAGGAGCAACGGTGTCGCGGCAAGCGACAGCTCCTCGTGAAGTGGAGGGGTTATGCCCACTCCGAGAACTCGTGGGAGCCGATTGAACGGCTCCTGATTGACTGCCCGAAGGCTGTCGCAATCTGGGAACAGAAGCGGCGGCAGCTTCATAAGTAGTCCGGGGCTTCTTGCCCGAACGGGGTACGGACGATGAATACATACCGTACCCGCGCTCATCGTGAGCGCTAGAAGCCGCGCGCTTCAGGATGTCCCTTGGCAGCATACGCTTGCTGATCAAGTGGGCAAACCTCACACGAAGATCACGCTGGTCCAGGATGTGGGACAGCTGCTGATCTTCATGGAGTTCCCATAACTCCGTGGGCGAGTACTTGAGAGTCTCCACCCACGCCCAGAACATGTCCTCACAGGAACTCCACGTGGGACAGTTCTCGGGCATAACCCAGGGGTATCCCCAAACAGGATAGAGACCACCCCGGGTCTCGGGCTTCTTACGACAAGTCGTGAAGTCCTTAAGGGGAATGCGGTGTTGCGCGAGAAGCACACACCGAGCAGCCTCCAAGTTGTCGACGAACAACTGTTCTTTCTGAACAAGGGCTCGTTCATAGATGCCCCTAGAAGTGTGGCCGCCCACAAGGCCACGACGAGCGACGAGAAGCTCTAAGAAGAGGTCAGCCCCAGAGATCTCCTCGGGAAGCCAATACCCTCTTGAGTTGATGGCAGCTCCCTGGCTGACGGGTGCCGCCACCGAACCCCCACGCACACGCTGGGCAGCTTGGAATTCCTCCTGCTGCTGGTCGAGGTCATTCGAGACCTCCCGGGGCTCAACGATAGCACCCTCCTCCTCCTCTTCTTCCTCCTTCTCCTCCCCTTCATCCGAGGAGCCGAAGAGACTCTGATAGGAGCGTCGAGTCTCCTTCTCCTCGCGGAGTGGAGACTTAGAGGCGATACGCTTCTTTGAGGGCTTGGCGCCTTCGGCTTTAGAAGCCTTAGCGCGCGCAAGACCCTCGGCAAGCGAGAGACGTTTGCGAGGACTCCCTTCCTCATCGCCACCGGCTTTGGGAGTGCCCTTAGCCTTAACGGCCGGACTCTCAGAGCGCACAGAGGTCCTAGGACTGTGACCACCGTGATCACTAGCGGGCGACTGCACGCTGCCTTCTTTGTGCTCACTGGCACTGGGCTGTGCCCTCCCACAGAGCCCGCAGGAGCATCCTGAGTGCTCTCGGACTCGGCATCGTCCTCACTGCCCGAGTTGAACTCGCGTTCTACGACCCGAGGGTTCGGACGGTTGTCTGAAGACGAGGGCGACGGACTGCGGCGCCTGCTTGCGCGCTTGTCCGCAGCCGCGTCACCCGAGGAACCGATCGCCTCGGAGGCCACCTGAGTAGCCTCCTTGAGTGCAGAGCCTTTGCCGTGAGGCTTAGTGCTCTTGGCCTGCGCCTTACCGGCTGCAGCCTTGGAGCGTGTCTTAGCACCGCTCTTAGCAGTGCCGCGAGGCATGTTAACGGTCGAAGTGGAGACCTTGACGAAGAGCGCACAGACTGCTGCTCGAGGCTCTAACTGTGAAGTGAGCCTCCGCCGCGCTCGCGCGGCCAAGTCGATGGTTTTCGACTTTGAGAATGAGAGTTTGTGACGAACACCTCTTCATTCTGATTGGTCGGTAAACCGAACCTAAGTGGGGGAGGATGTAACGGGGTACGTAGCCCTAAGTGTACCCTGGTTACATGAAGTGTGACACTTCACACTTCAGGAGTATGACACGTCATACTCCGAGATATTTGGTACAAGGTACCAAGGTCGTTCAAAGCCAACCATTGGTTAAATGACATTGCATTTCTATAGGTAACTAACAGTTTGTATTAAACCCAAACTTAATCTACCTATAAATATACTCAGTTTACAATCTACCTTATTTGGGTCACTTCGCTCTCTTTAATAAAAGAGGGGACCTGTGAACTGCCGTTCACTGAGAGTTTGTATACTCTCGGAAGATAGCTTCCTCTTGCGCAAGGTGCTGTGTGACCCCGTCACAAGTAGCGTGTTCTTATTTTTACTGGTTGGCCTATATAAGTAGCTTACAAGGTCCAGTTTGTCCCGGTGCAAGGGCAGAACTGGGGTCTTCAGGTCCGCCCGAGCGATCGTTTACTATCCTAGTAGACGTATTGTTGTGGGAACGTCCTAACTACATTTGTAGCTAGAGTTCACGTGGGAATTCCAACACCACAGCTGTTTTAAATCGTCGCCTTATTTTATTAATAGCATCCTATTAAAATGGGATAGCGACAGTACTTGATTTAAGTATTACTTTTTATGCTCATAACCGCCTGTAGATTTGATGCCATAATTAATGGATTTGATTCCCGTAAAACATTTCTTACTCTTTCTTCAAATATGTTAATAAAGCGCTCTTACTATTCTTCAAATATGTAATAAGAACGTTATGGGAAAACGCTAGCTCTAAAGTTCTCTTTAAAATTCCAAATTTGTTAAATCACCGAAAATTGTCGTGATATTAGCGCTTTACAGCTATTGTGCATTTCAATGCTTTTGTCTTTTTTACTTAGGCTGATGCTTGATTTATAGTAAAGGACATATCTGACAAGAGATATGGTTTTTCAAGAATAAACCCGGGCAATTTATGGCCCAGCAATATTTAAAGCAAAAAAATGTTTCAAACTCAAAACCTAATAATACTCCTTATTAGAAAGCTGCAGTAAATTTATAAGTTCCATGCTTGCTATGTCCAGGTAGCGATTGTCTCTATTTTGGTGCAAATCTATCGCCTAATTTGCTCCTATTGCTACATTTAAAACACCGATAAACCAGTTTAACGTCGTTAGCGCTGCGCTAAAACCACGTCGTGAAGCTGAAATAGGGTTAAATCACGTTACATTAACGCCACCCCGCGCGCGCAGTTTTTAGTTTTTGTACATTGTGGATTTAAATATAATTACGATTGATCTGGCACTATTGTGGAGTTTTTTTATCACATCCCGTACGTCACTTTCGCATTCGCCAGCGTTGAAAAGCCTCGTACGATGACCAACAAAATATCGGTCGGCGACGCGCTTGTGGTGCAGGCAACTTCGAGGACTGATCTGGAGACGACGCTGGACCAGGCGTTGGCGCTGCTACGTAGAGCTCTCAAGACCTCGCAGGGCGTGGAACAGGACGATGCACTGCAGTGCAAGGCGGCGCAGGTAGCTGCGTTGGCTGCGCAAGTGCAACGCCAGTGTGCAGATACTGCTTTTAAGCAGTTCAATCCACTGCAGCCAAGCCAAGATGCTAACGAGAGCTGGAGCAGTTTCACCAAGCAGCAGGACGCAACCCCGCAGCCCTCAGTATGGTCCGGGTTCTACAACAAGACGCTACGTGAACGCTTCGATGTGCTGGCGCTTATGTACCCGCGCCTCAAGACACTCAAGGCACAGCAGCTCCTGGGAGGCACTGACGCGTTTTACTGATGTTTCACCGCATTTGGACCCAACAGCCAGGCTCGGCGAGCTACCGCTGCGCACGGCCAACCTCATGATCGAGAACTGCGTCGGCGTGTTGGGCGTCCCACTCGGGTGAGGTGGCTTGAAGAATTGTTTAATATCCAGTGGATTGATAGCTCACTTGGTTTGTATCGTTGCCATAGTCTTGGCCTCAACTTCGTTATCGATGGCAAGAGCCTGTCCGTGCCCATGGCCGTGGAAGAGCCCTCGGTCGTGGCAGCGGCCTCCAGTGCGGCTAAACTTGTGGCAGCTGCTGGCGGTGGCTTCCACACGGCGACATCCGGCAACATCATGACGTCACAGATCCAGCTCGTGGGTACCGAGGACATCGCGGCGGCGATCGCATCTATTAAATGCAACCGTGAACGACTACTGTCAATTGCCAACACGACACTCTGCCCGAATATGAAGAAACGTGGCGGCGGTGCTGTCGATATCTACTGCCGCATTGTCAGCCAGGCCACCCGTACCGCTGCAACTGCTGCTGCTGCCAGTTCCTGGTACACTCCATGCGACGACGAGCTCGTGGTGAATGCCTCTGAATCGCAGACGCAGTTCCTGGTCGTGCACATCGATGTCGACGTGTGCGAAGCCATGGGTGCCAACATTGTCAATACCGTGGCGGAAGGTCTGTCTGAAGAAGTTTCCAAGATTACGCGCAGTCGTGTGGGGCTACGCATTCTCACTAATCTCTGCATGCAGCGCCGTGCTCGCGCTGAGTTCGAGATCCCACTCAAGAAGCTCGGCTGGAAGGGCGTGGATGGCGAAGACGTGGCAAACCGCATTATTGAGGCGTACAACTTCGCTGCGATCGACCCATACCGCGCTGTGACTAACAACAAGGGAATCATGAATGGCGTGGACGCTGTTGCTTTGGCTACTGGACAGGATTGGCGCGCCATTGAGTCGGCTGCACACTGTTACGCGAGTCGCTCGGGCCAGTATGCCTCGCTTTCGCACTATGAAAATGGAGTTGCTCGTGATGGTTCCGGAACGCGCGTGCTGCGTGGAAGCCTGGAAATGCCGATCGCGGTTGGGTCCAAGGGTGGTGCATTAATGACTCACCCTGGGTACACCGCCACTCACGCAATTCTGCAGCAGCCGACGGCGCGCAATTTGAGTGGCATAATTGTGAGTGTTGGATTGGCCCAGAACTTCGCAGCAATTCGTGCGATTGCAGTAACGGGTATTCAAAAGGGCCACATGGCTCTCCACGCACGAAACATCGCTATTGCTGCTGGTGCGCCTAGCGAACTTGTGTCTGAGGTTTGCAGCTACATGCTTCTGCGAAAGTCGATCAACATGGGAACGGCCAAGGAGTATCTGCATGCTCACGCGGTGTTCTCTGAGATCCAGAGCAATTCCCCGCCGATTTCTCCTGTCTCAGTGACGCTACCATCAATGTTCTACGTGGAAATTCCGATTCCCGAGCTGGAGGACACTATCAGCCTAAACATTGCCTTTGAGGCCATCAATAAGCACCCGCAGTACATCGCCATCATGGCACCGAGCAAGAGTGACAAGACGCTCACGACGCTACAGCGGCAATTACTGGGCGATAAAGGCTACAACCAGCTCGAAAAGATGTTCATGTTTCTGGCTTCCATGCGCTCCATTGTCATCTCCGCCTCGAGATCAGAAAGCGATCTGCTGCTGTCGCGCTCGAACGTTGGACTGCAAAACAAGCTGCAGCTGCTCTCCATTCTCATCAACATCATTGCATATCGTCTCATGGAGGTCCGTCCCGACAAGGTTCGTACGTTCATGCGTCAACTCCTTGAGGCAAGTGGTGGATCTGCCAATGTAGTCAACGACGGCGATATGCACGAGTTAGACGCCAAGTTCTTCCACGATCTCATGGTGGAAAATGTTGATCCTGATGACGACATTCTGTCCACGGGTTTGCCGCTGTTCCTGGCCCTGTGGCAAGTGCTGCACTACCACATTGAACAGGAGGTGCCGCACAAGTTACTCCGTACTCGTCTCGTCAAGGAACAGTGGGGATTGCTGAACGACATCGTCAGGAGTTACGAGCTCGGCAATTATGCTACGACTGCCACTGCGCAAACGTTAGACAAAATTTTTTTGGCCTATGTTGCAGTTCAGGCTACGCGTTGGCAAGCGACGTTGCTGCTGTTGATCGACTCGTTGGCTTTGGCCTCCGAGCTGGTGACACCGGAGAGGTTGGACTTCCTCACCCGCATTGGTGAGTACATGGAGTGGGAAGGCTCCATCGCACACGACCTGGCACGCTATCAGCGCGACGCTACTGAACGTGTGCCTAACGCCTTTCTCTTCTGGCTATCTCAGCGCGGGATTTCTCACACAGACGGTGAGCAATACGAGCGTGAATTCCGTGGCGTGGCTAACGCTTTAGCTGCCGAGAAGTGGGATCAGCTACTGCAGGAGGCACGACGGGACTCGTGGGCTGCAGCTACCTTCTCATTGCCGGCAGTGGAACGTGTCATTGGCCTCATCCGCGAAATCTACGGTGACAATAGCGGACGCAGCATTCGGAAGGAATCGTTTTAGAAGGCAGAGTCAAAAGCCGGGAATTGGAACCAACAGGAAGTATACTGTTACCCTTCTCGTTGCTACATAGTATGCTGTCCTGACCATCTTTAATTTATCCCAATACTTACGTGTACACCGCGCACAGAAAGAGTAGAGCTTTAGCGCATGCCTGCATGCGCTATATACGCCGTTCTTGCCTTGACTTTAGTCACTCCTCGCTGGGTGGTGCATCGTTCGCCTCTTGTCGCAGGAGCACGTAGGCCACGGCGTAGTCTCCGTCGTGCGAGATCGACACCATTGACTCCTATCCAAATACACACCCAGCACCTGCATCAGATAGACAGGAAATCATCTCCATCAACTGTTATCCCTTCCTCACCACTAATTTCAGGCGATTGGCCAGTGCCTCTGTCTCGCCCGAGAACTGTAGCTTCAGTGCCTTGGAGTTCTCCGTCACTGGCAACGCTGTAGGGACTCCAGGCTCCTCATTCCCCCTTCGCACTGCATTGATCTCGGGAAAGAGCACACGGTATCGCTGAAAAGCTTTGAGCGTCGCCTCCTTGACCGCCCACCGAGATGCCAGGAACGTGGCGCGCTCAGCGCTCGGTCGCGCGTGAAACTCGACGATCTCTTCTGGGTGGAAGGCGCGTACCAGCAGACGCTGCCCGAAGCGCGCGAAGCTCTTCTCGAAGCGTGACACCAGCACTACGTCCACGCCGATGCCGAATACCCTACAAATAATCGCCATGGCCCCAATAATTTCTAATAAAAAACAGTAATACACTGTGTATTATACACATGTATTAGAAACAATATCACTGTTTTTAACTCGATTTTTGCTCCGGTGACGTCGCGATGTTGGAACGTCAACATGTAACAAGGTATGTAACCCCAAGGGTACCCCTGGCTACATGAAGTTTGGCACAGGATACCTGGTACATGGTACCAGGGTCGTCAGAGGCCAACCTTGACATACCTTTTCTATAAGTGACTTGTAGTTTGTAAATTTAACTCAGACTTAGCCTACCTATACTGTGACGGGGTCACACAGCACCTTGCACAGAGGAAGTGCTTAAGGGTATTTGCTACCCGAGTGAACGTTTATCCACGTGCTCCCGGCCTCAGTTGCTACTTGATAGAGTAGATGTATTGTGCCTTTCCAAAGTTTTGGCCAATCTGACCTTTAAAGGCTGGTCCTAAGCAAGGGTGGGTAGGGCTAAAGGTGGGATTTGAGGACGAATTGCTAAGCCAGGCCACTATAAAAAATTGATATTTGACCAATATCACTGTTTGATTTTGCCGACTATGATTCAATAATACTTGATTGTGGAGGCCCTACGTAAGGGCTCCGATTTGGTCTAAAGGGTGCCTTTTAACAAGTTAAGGGCTGATTGGCCAGTATTTGCCGGTCATTTACCCTTACGTAAGGTATCTACAACAGATTGATTTTAAATCAAATATGGGCTACTCATCAGACATACGCTGGCGAGGCAAGAGTATGTGATCAGGCTATTGCCTTTCTACAGCGGGCCAGATCAAATCGTGTTTGTCGATGAAATTTCAAAGGATGGAAGGTATTGTACAATATCCATTTTGTGAATGCTACATCTTACCTAGTTAATTTGTTGTATGGTATTGCTATGGTTTAGGTCCTCCCTGAGAAAACACGCGTGGTCCGGTCAAATATGTCTTTGATTGGCATCGTATTTTTTCGTCAAAGGGTTAGGCTACATTTTAGTCGGATGCACCCGATCAGATAGGAGGTCTTCCGTAAGGGCCATCCTCCTACGTAGGACCATAAAACTGAGGGCGTTTTGGCAGAAAGGCACAATAAGACTGATGTATTTATAAGTAAGCTTAGCTTAAGTCCTTTACAAACTAGAGGCTACCTATAGTGGAGCTAAGTAGTCATGCCCTGACTGGCTCTTAGAGCACCTGATACCGTGTACCAGGTGCCCACAAGAGTGACGGGTCACTCTTAAGTAGCCTGGGGTACACTGGATTGTACCCCGTTTGTGACGGTCACACAGCACCTTGCGCTAGAGGAAGTTGGCTTCCGAGAGTATACAAACTCTCAGTGAACGGCAGTTCACAGGCCCCCTTTGCCTAAGGGAGCGACGTGACCAATTTAGGTAAGTTGGAAACTAGATAAATTTACAAACATAAGTCACCTGTAGAAAAGCAATGTCATCAGCCAATGCTTGGCTTTGGACGACCTTGGTACTTTGTACCAAATATCCCGAAGTATGACGTGTCATACTTCTGAAGTGTGACGTGTCACACGTCATGTAGCTGTATTGTAGTGATTTCTCCGTAGTTGCGGATTATCACCCGTCGACAAAGACGTGACACCGCCCAAGATGTTCAAGCGACGAACCCTCGGTCAGGTGATGTACGGAGACGCCAAGGTGCCAGGGACTCGACGGCGTCACTCCCGAGCTTTCAACGAGCAATGGATACGGGCATATGTCACTGAATCCAGGCTGTCCTTATTATTAATAATGGACTGGCCGGATTCGCATTCAGCGGACCATCTACGGTACGAACCCTCAGTGGCGGTTCGCGGAAGACTCAGCGACCATTGGAATGCACGTTCACCGTCTGGGACAGGGCGCGGACCGTTAAAGATGCTCATGCGACGGTGCAGACGACGCTTGGCATGCAAGAAGATCCATAACAGATCATTGTTCACTTGATATTTGTATACTTGATTAGGACTTCTTATTAGGAATAGACCCGAAAGGGTAAGCTTAAATACAGAACAGAATTTCCACTCAAGCACACAGAGCGACGTCCGGCTTCAAGGTAAGCGTCTGGTCAAGCTTGTTTGAGTGTGTTATGCCTGTCGGTGAACTCGAAGCTCTGTAGCGAGGGTTCATCCGGCAAGGCCAAGAGACTTTGTGTATTGGTTGATTATTATCGGGAGGTTTTACGTGACGGCTTATTGTTGCCTATTTGCACGACTGGGAGTGCTTGAATTGCCTCCCTTTTATTCTTCCAGCCGAGTGTTGAACACTCGGTGATCTTGTAAAGGCTTACCCGTGCCTGGTACCCTTCCGCTGTTGGGACCACGAGGATTCAAAACACCTGCTAGCTTTGCTCGTGCTAGTAGCGTGTTCTTATTTTTACTGGTTGGCCTATATAAGTAGTTTACAAGGTCCAGTTTGTCCCGGTGCAAGGGCAGAACAGGGGTCTTCAGGTCCGCCCGAACGATCGTTTACTAATCTAGTAGACGTATTGTTGTGGGAACGTCCTAACTACATTTGTAGCTAGAGTTCACGTGGGAATTCCAACACCACAACTGGTGCCGCGACCCGGGAACAGATTGTGACCATTGTGAACTGTTTGTATGGCCTTCCAGTTTACGAGCTACCAAGAGAAGAAGAACAAGAAAAAGAAAACAAGCAACATGGCGAAAGGACAACCGACGGTACCAGTTACGCCTGCCAAGTCTGGCGGGGCTCGCAACGAGAGTTCAAGCCCGGCTGCGCGCTTTGCAGCCGCCACCGAGCTTTCAGTGAGCTTCGACGACGAGGCGGACATCGGTCCTGACGCCCACGATTATAAAGATTACGAAGACAAGACGCCGGCTCCAGAGCCAGGCGCAGCGACGCCGGAGACGGCCACGCTATCATCGGGGCTGAGCGGGGCGACCAGGTCCCTTTCGAGGAACCTCGCCGACGAGCTCGATGATGTTGCGGGACCGGAACCCGCCTACGAAGATTATGACGATGGGACCGAGGGCTCTAAACCTTCGGTGGCGAGTGCAAAGCATTCAGCACTGCTGAAGGCACCTCGCCCACCTATCAACGGTGATACACCAGCCGCCAAGCGCGTTTTCGACCGCGTACAAGCGCTGATGCAGAATGATGAGTGGATGCAGCTGTTCAAGCCCATCACCAAGAAAAAAGCCGACTGGCCTGCGCTTGCGCAGGAACTTCAATACCCAGTCAACTCGGTTTCGACTAGCCAAGTTGCCGAGGATTCAGTTTCGCTACTGTTGTCGCTGGGCTTCGAGAACGAGACGTACCCATCGACGATGTCGCTCCAAGATTGGAGTCCACATGAAGCCGGAGCTGCTCTCCAGAAATGGAAGAAGAAGCTTCGGAAGGCGTTTGACGCGGTTGGCATCAACGCCGGAAAGCAGCCTGTTAGTCGACCGATGATTCAAGATGAAGATCCGTTCACGATTCCACTGCCGCCGACACCCCAACGACTCGTTCGTACTCCTCCGACCAAGCGTGGAACTGAGCGTGGTGCCTTTGGCACTACCGAAGCTTCACCGTACATTCAAGACTCGTACATGGTTACGCCACGTTCGGAGAGCCGTATGCAACGTATTTGCGCTGGTAACGAGGGTTCGTTCGGTCGCCGAGGCGGCGCGCGAGCTCCCAAAGGTGAGCCCGGGACGTCGTCAAGTCGACAGCGATGGTTCGTCCAGTGACGATGACATTTTGGTGCGTACATTCGACGAGGAAGATCCTCAAGTCGAGTTGATGCGTCAGATGAATGAGTTAGAGACGCTGAACGACGTGGACCCGACACCGAGGATTGAAATGGCATCGCACCGACCGTTGGATCCCATCACGCCGTTCTCAGGCTCTCGCAACAAGAGCGAGAACTGTATGCAGTGGCTCCGTGGGTTCGTCTATGAAATGACTGAAACCTACACTGATGCCGATAAATGGTGCATTCCATTTGAGCTAAGTATCCGGGACGGAGCCATTCATTGGTTCCGTCAACTTCCGAAGAAGACGAAGCGCAAGTGGAAGCTGTTGAGCGATGCGTTCATCCGCTACTACTGCTCGCAGTTCACTCAGACGGCACTGTCGCGTTACTACTCCGCCAAGCGGGAACGTAATGAACATCTGTGCGACTACATAAACAGGCTGAATGGCTACGCTCGGACCGCCCGTCTACACTTTGAGAAGAGTGGTCGCGACGCGAAAGAACACGTACAGCAGTTCCTGGCAACATGCGACGATGCCAAGCTAGCGGAGAGTCTCTACCACGCTCGAGTCGCCGACAATCACGAGCTCGAAGAGATCATCGAAGATGTTCTCAAGGGCAAGGAGAGAATGGCCAAGCGTGACAGTGAGTACCGATACTCCAAGAGCCGTGACGCGCGACGCGACGATGGGTACACCCACAACAATCGGCGTGATGACCGCCGCCGCGATGACAACCGCAACAAACCAAGAGTGACACTCATTAAAGCCACGGTGGACGACCTACTAGCTGAATTGGAGCTTCGTGAAGCTGCTCAGGGGGGCATCGAGTATTTAAATGAAGATCTGAGCGCTTACAACGATGTCCAAGATGAGTATAACGACTTTCAGCCCGAAAATACGGATGGTGATTTCTCATTGGATGAAAATGACCGATACCTCGCCGCTGCTAACGAAAACGAGCGCCGTGCAGCTGCTGAAGGCACCTACGCACGTTCAGACAACCGTCAACCGCGTGGAAACACGCCTGATCGCGAGATGGCTTCAATCAAGATCGCCGAGGTGGTGACCGTGAATTCAATCAGGACCAACGCGGTCGACGTGACTTCAACCGTGACAACCGACGCCCCCAGTACGGACCATGCGCGGTGTGCGGTGGCATGAGTCACTCCGCCCACTACTGTAACAAGCGATGCAAGTTCTGCAAACAACTCCACGATGCTGGACAATGCGAGCTTTTCCGCAACTTCCAAGACCTTGCCAAATTCGTGCGCACTAAAGGCACGAAGGAGGAACTCCC